GATATCAGATCAATTAGAATTCATTTCCTGAGCTCTAGAGCCTTGTCTCCTGCAGTCTCAGGGGAATGCTGCCTATGCCTTCACTAGTCTGTGGTTCTGTTAGCAGCTCAAAAGGGCAATCACTGTTGGGCAGACAGCAAGCAACTGTCAGCATTGGCCACTATACTGTTAGCCCTTAAAAGGGCTAGCCTAGCAAAATGGTCCATTTTAAAAGTGCAGGTAGTAAGGATATACAGACTGGGCAAAAGTAGGTTCACAATTGTGAGTACACAAGACACAGTTAATACAGCAACTGTAATGATTATAATCTGCATGTCTTTAGCTACACAAAAAACTGTAGCGAAATATGCAGGTTATACTTATTTCAGTTGCTTTATTAACTCTGTGTTTTGTGCACTCACAACTATAAACGTAGTTCTGCCTAGTCTGTGCACCTCACTGATGGCACAGAGGTTGGGGAAGATGAATTATAGGTCTTATACCCTAAAACATGCTATTTTCCACTTCAACCTTCTGATCCATGTTCTGTTATAACCTTCTAGACTTCAGCGAGTTTGCCTTTGTTCAATAAAACCTTCTTAAATGTCAGGTAACTGATGTATTCTGATAGACAAGAATTTTCCAGTATTTTTCCTCCTGAAGTGGCAAAACAATAAATAAATGATCTGGGCTTGCAGACCACTTGCTGCAGGCTACATTTTTTCAAATAAGTGACTCATGTATCTTGACACGGGTACATATAAGCTTACATTATATTTTAATTCTGGCATCTTTTTAAAAAGTTAGCTGTGAAGCACTGATTCATGTTATCAAAGCAACGTGCATTTCTTATACTGAGACTTGGGGATCATTTCTTGCAAAATAAAGCAGTATCATTCATTCAAGAAAGACATAGAACCATGGTGCAAAAATGCATCATTTTTCTATTTTTTCCTCTTTCACTTATTAAGTTATGATTCTGTATGTACCCAGTACCTCAAGTTGTCTAAATTACGTGGATTCCAGGCTGCTTTGTAAATTTCAAGTCTGCCTTGTGCAGGCAGTAATGAAGAATGAACTGTGGTTGCTGGGGAAAGCGCTGGTCCAGCCTTGTCCCACTTCCAGATGTGCACCTGGTCCTTTATTATGTCTCCCACAGAAAGCTGGTGGGTATCTTTCTGGTGGCACCCCATTAATGAATCAAGACAGAGTAAGATGTATGCATTTTTAAAAAGAGAATTGTAATTACGATTATGTGGCAAAGTAGGTTAAAAATGGAAAATAAACCAGGAGCCTAGCTGCTAAAATGTGAACATTGTGTTTCACTTTAATTTGCTGTTGTCTTGGAACCTGGCTGTTTATGCGATGCTTACACCTTCTGTTGCTTGTCTAAGTGCCAACTTCTTTCCCAAAGGTGTTCAGTGACTAATGCTTTGGTTACAAGCCAGAATATTTTATAAATGTCTATTTCTAGGCAGCTCTTCTACAAGTCTTAATTAAGCTTTAATGTCAAGCTGAAGTTTACTTTCAGAACCTCCTAGGCTCCTTTCGTTGTAACATGATTATGGAACAGTAGGGGGAACACAGGACGGCTGTGTTCCTGCACATTTCTTTTCTGCGTCTCACATGGTGCCACCGAGCAGGTGCGTACTTATGTGACAGAGCTGTACAACACAGGAATGAGTACATCACAGCCTTTCCCTAAAGCTGAATCAGAATTTTCCACCCCGAAATGATGGCCATGGTTGAGTGACCGCTTTGTTAGTTATTACTTATCCTTCCTGAAACAGCCGACTCCTCAGGGATCAGACGCTAGAGAGGCTGCGTACGGACACGTTCTTCATTCCTTTCTCCTCGATGTCTCAGGCACCAAGCAAGGGATTGTGAGGACAGGAGAACCATTTCCTGTAATTCTGTATCCTAAGCTGTTTGAAGTGAGCCTCTATTGTCAGAATAATGCAGAGTAGACTTTAAATAGAGTCATGTTATTTTGTACGCTTATTTTGAAACTGATTAGACTTATTCATCAGATTGCTCTATGGCAGAAACTGGTGAACTTTGTCCATAAAGGAACAAATAGTAAATATTTCAGGCTTTGTAGGGCAGCCATCTCTCTCAGCTACTCAGCTCTCTGGTGTCCAGGTGTAAAAGCAGACACAGATGAAGGAGCATGGCTGTGTTCCATTAAACCTTTATTTACAAAACCAGGCAGATATCTGAAGTGGGCCTTCAGGCAGCAGTATTTGAATCCCCTACCCTGTGATGTGCTTGCTTGTTATATGACAATTCTGCCATACTTCTTTATTTTTGGTTATTTAAATATAGTTCTTCATATCAATACTGTTATTTAAATAAAGTTTGTTAGTAAAATTTAAGCCGGTTGCTGAAATGAGCCAAAATGTAGAGATTTTACAGAATTCATCCTGGGTTAAAAAACCATAAGGATCTGCTCATAGGCAGTTCCAACACAATGACATTTACTTGTATTGACAATGGCTGGACTTTTCCCAGACAGACCTCGTATGTATTTCTGTACACTAACTGTGTTGGTAGGGTGTGAGAAAACAGGACCCAGTATCTTTTTCCCCAGGAGAACTAGTGATAAGAAAAACCATGCAATGTGAAAATGATGCAGCACAGGTGGGGCGGGGTGCCCTGTGTACTTAGGGTGAGAGAGAAGCTATGCCTCACACTTCTAGGGAGGTACTAAGTGAAGGGCGTTAGCAGTGAGTATTAGAGAAATCCTGGGACTTGGAGAGGTTAGCCAGTTGCATGAAGAGGGAAGATGTGAAAAGGAGAGGGATAGCTTGAAGTAGGATACAAAGCATCATGGTGTGTTTAGGTGACTCCGTAGGGAAGTTTGGCTAAACCAAAGAGACAAGTTAGGAGGTGGGAAGCTAGGCAGGGGCGAGCCCCTGAAGGCCTCACAGGCCGCGCTGATGAACCGGAAGTCCGCTGTGAATGCACGGGAGGGTATTAAGCAGGCATGTAATGGCATCATGTCTGCTCTCTAGAAAGGGACCTGTTCTGTTGTGTGAGACTGAATTGGAGAAGGAGGACTTGAGAAATCAATCAGGGGTGTAATTCAAGTTGACGAATATGATTCAACTGTGAAATTTTCAGGCCATTTTTTAAATTTGATTTTTCAGTCCCAACTGACATGGGTATTACATTATATTCACTTCAGGTGTGCAGTATAGTGGTTCTACCGTCATAATCTACAAAGCAGTTTCCTCTGAACTTTCCTTTAAAAAACAATGGAATCAGACCTTTATTATTAAAATTTTTAATCTATATTCAGCCAACCTAACTCAGCAGGATAATAGAAAAGGATAAGGCAACACGTGTACCAGTGCTGGTCCCCGGCCAAAATGACACTGCCCAGGGTTCCCAGAGCCTCCTTTTGTAACTGCTTTCCTTGGATTTACAATATTTGTTTACATGTTTAAAAGCTTTACTATGTAAGCTCTACAAAGGTGGTGTTTAAGGAATAAAATCTTTTTTGTGTGTGTCAGGGAGTCACGATCATAGTACCTGGTTTATTATACAGGACTTGTCAGTTACATTCAGTTTGTAACTCGTGAATCTTCAAGTAATGCTTGGAAACAAAATTTGAAACTAAACAAATTTTGAAACTTGCTCTTAAGTTCTGTCCTTAAATACCCTTGTCTTACATTGTTTCACAGTTAACTATTAAGTGCCTGCTATGTGATATTCAACTCTAATCTTGTGTATGGATGCAGGTTAGAATGGTACAATGTAAACATGATTAGAGAAACTTCCTAAGGTGCTAGGTGCATGTTTTGTTTACCTTTCATCTCCTATTTTTCTTTGGGTCACATCCTTTTCTGCGTGACCTACTTTTAAAAAATTCTCGGATATCTGAGAACCAGCTGTCTTTGAGGAGGGCTTACAGAATCATGCTGCAACAAAAGTTTTCTTTAGCATTCAGCTCTGTAACTCTCCCGTTGACCGAGAGAATGGGCTGTGTAGGTGAGGAGATTTGCATTTGCTTTGAGTCTTCAGAACATTCTAGTTGTGAGGGACCTTGAATAAGTTTTGTAAGCCTCAGGTTCCTCATATATAAATGTGTTGTTCTGAGGGTTCCATGGAATGACATGACCCGAATCTTCACTGAATAGTAGTTATTACTACAGATGAGGTGACTGAGGCTTAAATATGTTAAGTAAGCCCACCACCCAGGAGAACCGGGGCCAGAGCCAGAACCTGATACGACACGTACGACACGTACGTGTAGATTTGCAGCAGTCTTCTCTCTCCAGCTCCCATCACGGTGAAGCGTTTCTTCAGTCTGTTAATTTGGTCTCATCACTGACAGAGGTGACCAGCCTGTCCTAAGAAATGAATTCTGTACTAAAAGATTTTAGTTGGGTTCACTTGCTGGGGATAGCCACATTCACTTCCATCCAAACATCTACTTGGTGGAAAAACTTTTGTTCTCTTTTTCTTCCAGTTCCCCCCACTATTCCCCTATGGTGTGGGCAGCAGGTAGTTCAATGTCTATTCAGAAATAAAGAAAAAGAAAGAAAGGGGGAAGAGTTGTTAGGATCATGTATAAAGGATGCATGGACAAATCAAAGGGGTAGGATCAAGGGTGGGAAGTGGGGGTGGCTGGGGGTGGGGGAGTGATGGGGAGAAAATGGAGACAACTGTATCTGAGCAACAATAAAATAATGAAAAATTAAAAAATAATTTTAAATAAAAATATTACAAAATAATGAGGAAAATGTTAAAATTATAGAAGCAAGAAGCAGAAAAGTATAACAGAAAGCAGACCAGTTTAATTATAACTAATTAAAAATCTTGGGTTAATAGCCGACCAAATTTATCTGAAATACGGGACATAGAGCTCTTTTAAAAATAGATTGGCATCTTCTTTCACGTCATCCTTTCCCTCTGTTTGTTTTTTCAAATTAACATTTTAATGTTTGAGATAAATAAATGAAGAGAGAGGATATTTGTTTCCAAATTAAGAGCTAAGTAATATTACTTAATTTTAGGCCGCATGAGAATAAAACCTACCTCGCCGTTGGAAGCATGAAGACGTTAACGCTGAATGTGTCCCTGTTTAACGCTGGAGACGATGCGTATGAAACGACCCTGCATGTTAAACTGCCCACTGGGCTTTACTTCATTAAGATTTTAGATCTGGTAAATATTGAAAACCACGCAGCATGATGCTACATAATGTTTTATTTAATTTTTTTAAAATGTAAATGGTATAACTCATTTCATCAATTTGAGGTCTAAATATCTGAGGTTTCTTTAGACTTACCTCTTGGGCTTCCAGTGATTTTAAGACTCCTTCCATGCACCTGACTGAAGTGACAAGTTCCTAGAGATCTGACCGAGATCAAAAGAGTCAGCTTCCCACTTATAAGGAATAATTGTCTTGTTATTCATGCAAGCTGCTTGGGTTCCATTGCTTTTCTCACTGGTACATCTTTCTGGTGCTTGACGCAGCTCCTCTTGGTCAGGTCCCTGCACGAGCAGTGTCGGTTCTCCCTGTTGGGCTCCCGGAGTTCCTGGAGTTACCAACTCCGCATTTGAAGTTCATGAAACCAGTCCTGTTCTCAAAGGCCCTCCAGCATGCTAGAACCAGCAATCCACACATCCAAAATGCTGGTGCCAACCAGGTTGTAGTCAAGTTTCTCCTGCCCTGGAAGCGTTTGAAGCACCTGGAGACCTTTTCTTACCACTGTGCCTCCCTCATGAGCACTTAAATTCACCAGCAGGGTAGTGATAAGGTTGGATTTCAAAGGCAAAAGCCTCAATTGCTTTCTCCTTTGATGCTTCTCTGTTTCTTAGCAAATTTACCCAGGTCTCATCCAGAGGCAATTTCCTCAGATGAAGGGAGGGCCTTTGACCTCTCACACAAATCTAGTACCACCGTTCTCTAGCAGGGGTATCCAACCTTTTAGTGTCTCTGGGCCACACATTAAATATACAAATACTAATGAAAACTGATGAGCAAAAAAAGGTTTTAAGTGAATTTATAATTTTGTGTTGGGCCATATTAATAGTCATCCTGGGCTTCATGTGGCCCATAGGCCATGGGTTGGACACCCCTGTAAGTATGAAAAGCTTATATGAAATAGTAAGAGGAAAAACTCAAATATTCAAGGAAATACGTGTCTATACAAATACACAATGAGCTGTTTATTTCCCTGAAATATTTGAATACGTGTATATGTAGCTATTGTGATTCCAGTTATTGCAATGACATACCTTAAACACATTCTCACATCGCACACAGAAGGGGGATGTGAAACATAGATGTTACGAATTCCTTGCCTCATGATTTTGCAAGGAACCGGGCCTCAAATTAAATGGGGAATACGCAAACATGGACAAAAGGCACAAGCCCAGAAATTATTCTGTGGAGAACTTAAATGAATATTAGAATATGCCTATATACTTATATACATACCCATATCATTCATTTATATTTCTGTTTACTCCAAAAATAGTTGTCTAGGAAAGTAAATTCTTCAGGGATGATGTTTTGTTCTGTTTTTTTCAAAAGCCATCCTTAAATATGGGTCACAAACTTCTTGTTTCCTTTTCTACCTAAACCTTTTTGCTTGTTTATTTTTAAAATGCTTTAGGAAGAGCAGCAGATACACTGTGAAGTAACAGACAGTTCTGGCGCAGTAAAACTGGACTGCAGTGTTGGCTATATATATGTAGATCGTCTCTCAAGGGTGAGCATGTAGCATTTATAATTTTTGTTTGCTAGCATGAATATAAAATTCTTCTATTTTTCCCTTGTTTACTCTGCACACAAATACATAATTCATTATTATTATGTTTTGCTTAGAGTAAATAGCTAAGTGATAAAATAAAACCCAAGCCAACTGGGCTCGAGATCTTTGAGATTGTATTTATATTCTTGGCAATGTTCACTGTAAAAGGGGGGGCCGCGTGTTTATGTCAAGATGGGCACGTGAATGTGTCAATCAGAATTCTGCTCTCACCCTTCCCCAACACTCCCCTCACCCCAACCACCCCACCCCAGGTGGTCCTATCTGCCAGGCATGTTACCTCTGCTATACAAAAAGGTGTTTCTGGCAAGAGTCCTCACTCAAGTTGTTAAAGCATCTCTAATTTTGTCAGTCTGGACCTGCCTGTCTCCATTCAGAGGAGGCTTTGTCTCTGCGTGTCACTTGTGGAAATGCTGGTGCTTTACAATTGCCACAAACCCAACAGCTTCCCTGTAGCTCGCTGCCCGAGTGAGGGGTAGCTTATGTCACAGAACATAGTTTCAAATCTGCATTCCTCAGGGTATAAACTATTAAAAAATTAAAATTCAGATGATAAAAAATGCATTTTAAATTATTTTTTAAATGAGCTTTTTTTCTGTGTTTCACAGGTAAATGTTACCTTTCTCCTGGATGCCAGCTCCCTCAGCAGAGCGGAGGAGGACCTCAACATCACAGTGCACGCCACCTGGTACATTTCACTGTGGGAAAAATCATGTACTAGAGGAAACAGACCCCCGACTTTTTGGAGGGGAACTTAGCAGAACCATGGAGTTGTGTTCCATTGTTTTCATGAGAAAGCTTCTCTTACATGATCTAACAAAGAAAAAAAAGCCCTTTAACCAGCATAGAGGAAAGTAACAGTGTAAATAACAATAGTAAATTTCTGCCAACCCTATCATAAAAATTTTTTGCTGTCATAGCCAGTTTTATCCCTATGCCCTGAAAAGCATTAGTTGAACCAGCCTCTGAGTATATCAGGTATATGTGGTATATAATTAGTTCTCTCTAAAGATGACTTTTGTGCCTGATGGGTTCTGACAGGGGGTTTTCTCTTTACTTCTGTAGTGAAAACGAAGGGCAAATGGGCCATCAGAAAGGTAACAAAGTGACTTTGGCAGTACCCCTGAGGTATGACGTCATGCTAAATGCTCACGGGTAAGTAGATTTTGATGCCTCCTCTAAAGCTGAGGGCTGATTATATAAATCCATTGCTTTGTACATTGTTAGTCAAAGCCATATTTTTTTCAAAAAATGTTTTCAGGATTCTGCACTGTTTCGCTCTCTTAACAAAGACCTCAGCATTGTGGTCCCTTGCCCAGCTGTTCACTATTCTAATCCACCCTGTAATGGTCACGGAGACCATGTCAAACTAGTGCCCACCTGGAGGAGATGTAGTCTGGGAAGGGCCTGATGACCCTGCAGTGGGCCGCAGGCCGGGACCCCGGGAGTTGGGCAGTGCACAGTGTGCTTGGTCCGACTCAATGGTTGTTGCCAAGGTGAAGTTTAAAGAATTACGAGCTTGACCAAATCACTGCACTCTAGGACCTGTGTCTGCCTGTGTGGCGGAAGGACTCAGCCGTGTGAGAGCTGGCTGCAGGGCATCCCTTTCCCGCTCTTTGTACCTGTGAATTACAGTTTCTCACCCCCAGCCCAAGAGCCAGTATTTGCTGATTTCCTCAACATTTAGGAATTGTTCATGAGGTTTCTGACTCTGATTCAGGGAGCACATTTACGGAGGAAGAGTGAAAAAAGTATTAAGAAAACCTGTAATGATTTTATTGGAAATTATTTAGGCTATTGATCTTTGTTGAAAAACACATTTTTAAAGCAATTGAAGATAAATACAGAATAGACAGATGAGCTTTTCTTATATCTCTAAGTATAAACCATCCCCAATCATTTTCAACCATCCATAAAGATGGCATATAGTTATATAAAAATAAAATATCAGTGTCTGAAGCTAGTGGCATTGAATATCAAATTTGAGAATTAGCAAGCTAGGGATAAAGGCAGTCATTCAAGAGTGATGAGGACCTAATAAAAAGTCAGTGGGAAGCAAAGAAAACTAATTGCATGTTTTCTGGTTCTAAATGTGATCCTCCTTGATTTTCTTATAATGATTATCCTCCCTTTTTTTTTTCATTATCCACATCTTAATGTTTTGAGCAAGGACTGGTCTACAATGATTAAGCTACATTTGAATATTCTAATTTCCTTCCTGTGTCATGGGTTACCTAATTTGTATTACCTCATATCAGCTGCCAAATATGAGCAACTGGTGAAGTCAGGGTTTTCCCAGAAAAGTACTTCTTGAAGTTCACTACTGACTATACATATGTATGATTACAGGTGAGAGAGTAACAACTGTGTACTTGAACAAAAACTTCACCATACTTCCTGGTGTTTGAACTGTTCCCAGGTCTGGGGGTCATTACAGTAGCAGCAGGAATTAGCAGATGGGAAGAGATAACTCAAAAATAAGTAAGGTAGATTGAAGTGTAGAGAGGGATATTGGAGTCCTAGAAAAAGCTAAGAATTGATCTTGTATTTGCCAGATTTACATAAATCAGTAGAATGAACCAGGCAGTGTTGGGGAGGCAAACAAAGGCTATTGGTGGGAAGAGATACTGTCACTCAAGTCAGAGTACATGGTTTTCTGATTTCATTACATTTTTACTAAAATTATTATCTTACCAGAAACCAGAAGAATGTGATTATGCTTAAGGGGGCACCTACAGTCTGAATTATAGCACATTTAAGAGGTACTTAAGAGAGATGCTATAATCCAGACTGTAGAGAAAGACTGCTTATCCCACCTCATCAAACAGGACTGTTAGCCAAGTTCAAGCAAGCTGTACAAATTTAGGGGGCAGCATGACTTACAAATTCAGGCATCCTTGCACTTAGCACAACCTGGCACCTGGCATGTAAATGAATGAATGAGATCGTAAGGCTGAAAAAAGACTGACTTTAATTTGACTTTGTTTCTATCAGGTTCGTAAACCCGACTTCATTTGTATATGGATCAAATGAGGACTCGGAGCCTGAAACGTGCATGGCAGAGAAAGTGAACTTCACCTTCCACGTAAGCAACCTCTGTGAAATGGTCCTGTCAGAACCTGGCTGGACTCTAGAAAGCTTTATTAATTTGTGATCAGTAGTTAAGTATTTTCTGAGTTACAGTGGCGTGACTGGGACTGGACGTCCTTTCAGTCCTTTCAGATTTGGTGGGTCTGTTCAAGTGTGAGTGTGTTCTTGGAGGTCTGGACATGACCAGGCAGACAAGCATGGAAAATATTGTCGGGTAGAATGACTGTTCGCAGGCCTCAGGAAGACCTTGTCTGAAAGTCTGGGCACTGCTGGTCACCCTTGCGGACACTGCCTTTCCAATGCCCTGTGTGTGCATGGCCAGGCAATCATCACCTGCCCCAGAGCTAGGAACACCCTTTCTTCTTCTTTATCTTGTGCATTCAGAAGGCCATTGCAAGTCCGTGAGTCATGCTGTTTCATTCAGGGGTTGTGGCACATTGCTTTTCTAATTCATTGTATTGGTTTTATCGTGAAGCTCTCAGGAGGCAATGTTGTGACTCACTTTCCTTTTACGGGGTTTTGCAGGCCCCAAATTTACCAGTAATATGGCCTATCATTCCCTTTTGCATTACTTTTTAAAAACCTGTCATATTTTTTAAAACCCAGTCAATTCAACCTTTCTGATTTTCTGAGTGTATCAACACTGTAATTACCTTGAGTTAAAATACATTTGATATCCCCTCTGCACAGAGTGATTTTTTGAAAATATCATAGGGTTTAGAATTAGGAGACCTGGATTTTGGTCCCAGTTCTTGTCACTTTTTAACGTTCATCTTGGGCATATTGACTAACACCTCAGCATTTTCTTGAGCTGGCAAATAATTAAATGTCACCTCACCTCATGGGATAGTTATGAGGACTGACTGATCATGGCTTTTGTAGATATGTAATGTGTTATACAAATACACATTGTTGCTGTCTCTTTCTTTAGACTATTTCTACAATAAAACACCGGCCTGGACATTCTGGTCTAATTAATATAAAAGGGAGAGAGTTGGGAATAAGGACTAAAGGTCATAATTATTAGCAATCTTTTTAAACTTCTCACCGTAAATATTGCATCTCCCTTCTCTGTGTAGCTGCCGACAACAAACCTCCAGCACCATAAATGTGGCATGAAATGGATGGGTTCACCTAAAAGCTCATCAGTATCTGTACTCGCACTTATGAAAACATTTTAAAGTTGTTTAATTTTTTTTCCTTCTTATCAGGTTGTCAACAGTGGCCATAGCATGGCTCCAAACATTAGTATGGAAATAACAGTGCCAAATTCTTTTACCCCCCAAACTGATAAGTTGTTCAACATTTTGGATGTCCAGGTAAAAAGGTGTTCCTTTCTTTATTGCAAGTAATACTGGTAAAATGGAGATTCCTATAAATTTATTTCAGTCACACTTACTCTAAGCTACGAATTCACTCTGCATGCATTGGGTACACTCTGAGCAGGATACACTGCTTCAGAACTGTAGGGTTACAATGGAGCCTCTGCATTTGACTTATACAATAATAGAATTATGCTCTGCTATCTTAAGTACATTTTCTTTGTGATATGGACCTCTGGAAGTTAATTGAATTGATAGAAATCTCCATAAAACTTGAGACCACTATTGGGAAAAAATAGTATTTCAGCCTTTTTCAAAGAAAGAATATTCAAGTCACTACTTAAGAATAAGTATTGCTTTTACTCTCCCAGTTTCCAGACAAGCAATCAATAAAATAAACCTAAGTGGGTTTGAGATTTAATTTTTAAAAATCTTACTTGAATTCTAAATTTAGATGGTAGGACATGATGTTATATTGTTTTGTGCCTAAAGCCCAAGAAATGTTGAATTCCATGTTGGTGTTCGAATGTTCATTTTTCACGTTGCCCTAATTTCCATAAGGTGTAAAGGTCATTTAATTAGCTTAGGACCTATAGCCAACCCTCTAAAATTTTGCTGGGTTTTTGCTGCAGAGATTTTATCTCTCTCAAATAAATCTGTTGAAAATATTTTTGCACTTTTAGAAGTAACGATATATTTTAGAAAAGGTAAGCAAGCAGTTAGAAGTTTTAAAACCATGTAGCTTTTGCAGTTCTTTCCAGTGTTGAGTTACAATATTTTTCTTGCTGTCTTGAACAGACTACTACAGGGGAATGCCATTTTGAAAATTATCAAAGAAAGTGTACATCAGATCAGGAGAAAGGTGCAATGAGGACCCTAACAGATATATTTACATTCTTGTCAAAGACTGATAAGAGGTTATTGGTAAGTTTTGTATTTTCCTGATAGTTTCTGCTTGTCAATGTACAGAACTGAAACACTTAAAACCAAGCATCCATGGGTTTGAGCTGTCAGGCGAGTATAGGAGAGAAACAAGTTCAGGTCATATTCTTGCCCATGAGGAAGAGACATGATTAGAAATTGATATAGACCCAGGTTAAATGTATACATTTTCATTATTTATCTAGCAAATGCCCATTTTTTGCCACCCATTCTTCCAGCCTGAGCAGACTTTGTGAACTGAGATTAATTTTGACTATTTTAGTGAATTTATGAAAATAAAATTTAAAAAAACTGAGAAAGCAATGTTACCCTTCAAACTATCCGGGTTTTACAGTGATCATAAAACCTCTAACTTAGCAAGATTCTGATTAGGAGTCTTTCTTTTAAGTCTATCCCAGAAGGCTAAGTTCCAAAAATAATGAAAACACATGCTCTAGTTCAAATTCTTTTTTTCGTAATTTATAAAACAAGCCATTTCTGAGTAAAGAATTTTTAAATGCCACCAACAAAAGCAAAACTTTAATTCCATGTTTATAGCAAGTTAATTTTTATAAATGCCACTAAGAAGAACAGACTTTTTTTCCATGTAAAATATTTTAGCCATCATTTTGTAAAATGTTAAAATTTTAGTGTAGCTTTTTGTGTTCTTTTCAAGTTCTGCATGGAACAGGATCCACATTGTTTAAATTTCTTCTGCAATTTTGGGAGGATGGAAAGTGGAAAAGAAGCCAGCGTTCACATTCAGTTGGAAGGTCGGCCGGCCCTCTTAGAAATGGTGAGTGTAACACACGGCGCCAACTTTGTACGGAGGTGCCCATGGACACGGCAGACTATGTAACGAGGAGGGTGTGTAAGGAGACCTTCTACAGATTACAAAGGTATCAGTAAACATAAAATTTAGAGTGAAACTTTAAAAACGGTTTCCACTTTAGCTGAATGCATTGTCTCCATGGCATGGTTTTAGTAATTAAACAGGTAATTGAGACTGTAAGATAGACTATGGAATAATTAAGAGTTTTACTTTGGAAAGCATGTTCAACTACTTATGGATCTTGACCCCAAATCAAAGAAATTGGCTACCTTAACATTTTGTATAACCTTGAAGTTCTTTCCAAACTATTTAAAATTATGCTTAAAAATCTAATATTTAATAAAGCTATGAAGTATTTCATAAAATCAAGTTAAAGCAGCAAAATGTATTAAGAATAAAACACAAATACACAATAACAAAAAACACTTAAGAAAATTAACTTTGAAAGGTTGAATTAAAAAAATAAATACACCTTGGACTTCTTCCTAGATAGGAATATATTATACATATTTTTGAGAAGTAGTTTAAGGTAAAAATGGTTTTATTTGCAGTTCTGTTCTTCAGCTTCCTTAATAGGGGTGATAGCTCTTTTGTAGGAGTGTTGTAGATTACATGTGATGATTTTGAGTTTTTATGCGGCACTCAGTACAGGCACCCCTTGTTTATTGCACTTTGCAGGTACTCTCCTTTTAGAGACTGGGGGTTTTCGCAACCTTGTCAAGCAAAGTCTAGCAGCACCATTCTTCCAATAGGTGCAGATGATGTTTAGCATTTTTTAGCAATAAACTATTTTTAAGGAAGGTCTATACATTGTTTTTAGACATAATACTATTGAATACTTAATGGACTACAATATAGTGTACATGTAACTTTTACATGCATCAGGAAACCAAAAAATTCATGGGACTCATTTTACTGCAATATTTGCTTTATCGCATTGGGTCTGGAATCAGACCCACGCTACCTCCTGTGCGAGGTCTGCCTGTACTAGTGTATGGCACATAATAAGCCAAAGGAAGGGGCCATTATTCTGTTTTGTTAAGAGACATATTTGAAATTACCACAGAGTGGTCAAGAGGAAGATGCACCAGGCAGCAAAATAAAAGATGCCTGTTTTAGTTTAAATGGTGCTGAAAACTATTCTTGGGGTCAACAAGTTCCTCAGACTTTTGCAGTTTGCCTTCTCATGCTCTAGAGGTACACGTTTTTCAACAGAAGACACCACTAGCATTTTAGCCCAGATAATTCTTTGTTGTCATGGGCTGTCCTGTACATTGTCCCCTATTTGGCAGCTTTGCTGACCTCTAGGCACTAGATGCTGGTAGCAACACCTCCCAGGTCCTGAAAGTCAAAAATGTCTCCAGACGCTACTGACTGTCCTCGAGGGGATGAAATCACCCTGTTGGAAACCACTGCTCTGCATTCTCTCCAAGACACTGAGTAAACTTTACATAGTAGTTTTAATTTCTGAGGACCATAGACCTCTTTAAGAATCCACCTCAAGAATATAGTCTCATGTACCCCAATAAATGCACATATTTTAAAAAGCTCGATTTTTGCATATAGTTTCAAAAGTCCTTAGCATCTGTGGGGCCCGTCCATAGATTCTGGATTATCAAGTCTCTTAGATAGTAAAGTTCTGAGTTCATTGACTCTCTTTATATTTCAGTCCTGTAACTATTTGTACTAGGTTTTTCCATTTCAATATTAAGTAGACTATAGGTATTTTGATCTGAGCAACCAGATGACACTACTACTTAGAAAGAAGCCCAAATAAAATGAGTTTTAGGAGAGGTTTATCAGTTGCAAAAAGTCATACTAGGATATAAATAATTCAATACCCAGGGGAAAATACACTGGTAAGTAGCAATAATTAAATCGTTACCTGTGAAGTAGTCATGTTTAATAAAAGGATTTCAACAAAACGATGCCACAAATTCATACAAAGACCAGGTATTAAGAACCAAAGGACACATTGTATTGCAATTAGTTAAAAATGGTGAAATATATTGGGGAAGGTAAATTGTGAAAATTTCCAAACAGTAGGTAAGGATCATTACAAAATAGTTATGTTAATACATGTCTTCATTTAAAAAAACAAAAACTGAATCCAGCTACAGTGGTGTTTCTTTTATTAAACAGGATGAGACTTCAGCACTCAAGTTTGAAATAAGAGCAAAAGCTTTTCCAGAGCCAAATCCAAAAGTTACTGAACTACACAAGAATGAGAATGTTGCACGTGTAAGATTACCTTTTTAAACTGAAAACATTAAGATTGTAGGGAAGATAGTATGGCTGGGGTGTTCAGTCAGGAAAACAGATTTTGACTAGATCGTGGAGGGGTTAAAATACGTAGAATTAGTATTTTCCACGGCTGGAAGGAGGGGATGACAGGCAGCAATTTTAGGAGGTAAATGTGGTAGGATGGATGATTGGAGGGAAAAGTCCATTATGCCTAGTGTCTCTGCTAAACAGTTGCTGTTGTTTCCCATGGTTACGTCAAACCAGCAAGAGAACAGGATGGGCTGTTCTAAATACTATTGGGGATTGGTGCAGGGGGGTGCTTCAAAAGAAATAGAGGATCACAAGTTTTACATGTTGCTATTTTGGTTAATTTATGTAGGTTCTGTTGGAAGGATTACATCATCAAAGACCCAAACGTCATTTCACTATAGTGACTATTTCAATTAGCTTGCTACTTGGACTTATTCTACTTTTATTGATTTCATATGTTATGTGGAAGGTAAGCCTTGCTTTAATAATTACCAGTGTTAAACCACTCAAAATGCCATCCTTGATTTCCTCAAAGTCAACAACCCCACGTGAATACGCAGTACTGATCACATCTTATTTCTCCTCACTTCAGTACCAAAGTCCTTCTAGAAAAGCATGCCTTCTTAAAGTTAACTCACTTTCAAAGCATTTGAGAAACACTGCGCATTATGTCAAATGTCAATTTTAGAGGAATCACATGTATCATTAAGTCCTGCAGTAATTAAAAAAACAAAACACTGTTGAACCCAGTATTTTCCAAACAAGTTTTACTGACTCTGGGACACAGTTTAAGAAACACAGCAGGTCCTAAAATGATGTCATTTCATTCGATTTTATTTTGTCCTACTGTTAGGAACTTAACTCTTGTTTATATCAATTAGCCTATGACAAACCTGGTTTTTAAATACACAAGTGCTATGATTGTAAGTGAAATGACTGGCAATGTTAAATAAGGATTTACTAGCATTGACTGTTTAGATAAGTGTAATGGCTACAAACTAGTGATTATGCAATGGGTTTTTCAGGTTGGCTTCTTTAAAAGAGAGTACAAATCCATCCTACAAGAAGAAAACAGAAGACACAGTTGGAATTACATTAACAGTAAAAGCAATGATGGTGGTGAGGATGATGAGGATGATTAAAGACTTCTTTCAAATTGGAGAATAAGACTCAGGTAAAATAAAGACATTTAAGACATTGTTTACAAGAAAACATGAACTTTGCTCAGTGTTCTTTCAAGCACTTCTTTTACTCATGACCTTGTGACATACTATGTCTTAAGGCAAATGAAAAACCCAAGAAATGATATTCTATCAGCTCTTAAATGGACAGCAAAAACACTAAAACATTCAATTTGTTCAAGATAATCCTTTGAAGATATCTGGAAATGAAAGTACATCTGAATTAAATCACATTGAGGACATAAACATGACTGGAGAAATCTTGGACTTGAAATATTCCTTTAAAGGAGTAGGTAATAATTCATGGCTAATAGATCTTTGGGGCTTGTTTGAAATATGTTCTTTAAAAATAGAATTTTTCAAAGAGCTCTTTCCAACTTTCCCAATGAATAAGAGAACCACTGTCATTTAAACGCAAATTTCACCTTTAAGACCTTTGTTGTAGCACATTTCCCATGAGCTTTGATTCCCAGCCACTCAGCACTCTGATTGTTCTGGGCCTGAAGGGCCAGCTTGAGACTGAACTTTTATACACTGGTTTGAGCTGAACTGGGTGACTTTTGGATAATTATGCAGTTATGGATGATTACTGTTTATACAGCTATGGATTTCTTTCTTCTTTCTGTATATACCTAACTTTAAAAGACTATGTTTATACAGGCACAAATTCACACATCCTCCTGTAACAATTTTTCCAAGGGCACCCGGAGTAAATTAAAAATCCATCATTAGTCAAATTTGTTTATAAAAACAGCAGTACTTAAGAATTCTAATTTATATTCTAAAAGAGATGGTGATGGGTGATGGTTGCACTTTAGATGATATTTGAAGTATAAATACACTGATATGTAAAATATGAAAACTATACCTCACACATTTTTTTAAACCAAAGCTCTGCAGAAACAAATAGTAAGGGGAAATATTTCATATAGATACTCTCTAGAATACTAACTGATGTTATTCTTTATTCAAGTGTAAGTAAACATGTATTTCTATCAGTTGTGTGTAACAACATTCTCTTCTACATGGAATTGGGAATAAAATTCAGAAATTTAATACAGGTTTAGTTTGTATCCAGCGACTATAAAAGTAACATAAAATTTCCATGACATGTGTTTTAGTGATAAATGAACTATTTAAAATAATTTCTCTTTAAAGTCATTTACATTTACAAATATAATCTTTCTGTAATATTTATTCATGTGTATGAACTAGATGTTGAGTGTAGAATATAATTTCATCTGAACTGGGCTGAAGCTTCCTATAATTATATGTATACAAAGTTTGAAAATCTGTTATAGGGTGAGGTCAAATAGGTAAATGAGAGAGGCCTTTACTATTATGAGAAATATTTCTTTATATGACGTCCCTGCCAACAGCTGTCTTCCTCAGACTGCCTAATCCCTATAAGTGTCCATCGCCAGTCTGCGATTGGCGGTCAGAGACTTGTAAAGGCGGTTGACGGGAAAGCCCAGTCATCGCAACAGGTGTGAAACCTCCTGAAGTCTGTGTGCCCACAGAACTGAGTCACAGGTATGGAAGACTTTAAAGCATACTTTTATCAGAAGCTACTGTTTTTTTCACTATAAAAAGCCAAGTAGTTCAGGAGGATGTCTAGACTTGATGGTAGAAAATCAAACCCAAATTTAGAATTTCATTGTCAAGGATAATACCTGAGGAAGTTTCAATTTGGTTCTCTTCTACTCAGGAATGACAGCCTTTCAGGTATCACCGAGACCACTGAAAACCCTGTGTTTTCACCACTGCCCAAAGACATTACTTCCAGGAGCATGAGAAACTGCCCAGTTAGATATTGCATCATTTTTTAACTTTAATATTACCTGTATTATGAATTTATAAAGAAAAATCGACTGGGTTGTCAACTTTCAGAGAATATTCACAAAATTGGTACCATAACAAGTTAAATTTGCTATTTTTGATGTTACTAAAAAGAACCCTTTCTTTTTTTTCCCTCTTAGGATAATCTGTTTAAAACATGACCATATTCCTTCATATTGAAATTCTAGTTCATACATTTCTGTTATAAACAATTACATGTTACTTTGGCATCATTCATTTCTTCCATGCTTTCTCCATAAAGATCGATAAGTCTTGGGTGCAATCTATAAAGAATAAAATATATGTACTTGATTATCAACCTCTCATTCTGTTATTTTTCACATATACACAATTGAGTACGGTGCATCATACCAAACACAAATCTAATGAGAGCCATCAAACATACACATACATTGCAAAACTACAATCTAGAAAAACTGGGGCAGGGTGTCAAATCAGCACAGAAACTACTATAAAGCCTTCTTAACTGATTTCCTTGACTAATAGTCTCCATTTTTTCTGTGAAAGCCGGTTAGCTGTGCTGACGGAAAGCTCACATCTATCTAGTGGACTACTCAGGGTGCCCTTGCCCACTACCCATCGAGTCATAAAGCTTACCAAGAATGATTTCGCATGTTCCAGAATCTTTCTATACCAACTGTGGTTGTTACTTAATAAAATGATATGTAAAGTAAAAGCAAACTGCGGAACATAAAACTGTTATAAAACTGTTATAGTATTAATTATTGGTGAAAGGACATTTTAAAAGACTGATTAAATTGTAACAATCTGCTACTCACATGGTGTCACAGCATTTAAACTTTCGACTCATGTTTTGAAATTCAAAATGGAAATTATAGACATTATCTTTATAGTTTATTAAAAATAATTCAAAAATGCCCATACATACTACCCAAAGCAATCTACGGATTCAGTGCAATTCCTATTAAAATACCAATGGCATTCACAGATCTAGAACAAACATCCCCAAAATGACCCCTCCCCCCCCACCAAGTAGCCTCAGCATTCTTGAGAAAGAAGACTAAAGTTGGAACATCTCAATACCTGATATCAAACTCTACTACTACAAGGCCACTATAATTAAAGCAGTCTGGTACTGGCATAATAACAGACAGCCCAGAAATAAACCCATGACTTTATGGTCAATCAGTATTTGACAAAGCAGGCAGCAGTATATAATGGACTAGACAATCTCTTCAATAAATGGTATAGGAAGAACTGGATTAGTACTTTAGACCACCAACTTACAGCAGAATAAACAAAATGGATAAGAGACTTAAATATAAATCGTAATACCCAAAAAATCCTAGAGGAAAAAACATAGGCAGTAAAATTTCAGATATTTCATGTAGCAATATTTTTGTCAGTATATTTTTTAGGGCAAGGGAAATAAAGGAAAAATAAACAAATGGTGCTCCATAAAATTAAAAAGCTTCTACATGGCTCAAGGAACCATCTTAAAATAAAAAGGGAACCCAATGTACGGGAGAACATATCTGCCAGCGAAACACCTTTAATTTCCAAAATACATAAAGAACTCATACAACTCAAAACCAGGAAGACAAACAATCCAATTAAAAAATGGGCAAAGGACCTGAACAGACACTTCTCCAAGGAGGACAGAGGGCCCAGAGACACATGAAAAAATGCTCAACATCACTAGCCATTAGAGAGATGCAAATTAAAACTACAATGAGACATCACCTCACACCTATCAGAATGGCTATCATTAATTAATCAACAAACAAAGTACTGGCAAGGTTGTGGAGAAAAGGGAACCCTAGTGAACTGTTGGTGGGAATTCAGACTGGTGCAGCCACCGTGGAAAACAGTATGGAGTTTCCAGTAGGGAAACCTGTGGATAGGTTTTCCTGTGGGGAACCAGGCCTGCATTGTACCTAGGCCGCTATGAGGCTTGCTTTTGCTAAAACCCCCTTACCCTGAATTGAGGCAAAAGGGCTTATTGCAACTTCCTAAAATCTGAGCTAAACCTTCCAAGTATGGAGTATTAACAGTCCAACCACTTTTCCCTTTACATTTGCAAATATCCTTCTTTGATGTGATTAGCAACATCCTCTCCTTTGTTGTTTGTAAAAGGTAACCACCTAATGTGAACCTGTGCATAGTAAATGAGGACTACCCTCCTTGTAATGTACCCAGGAAAATAATAAAAGCCTATCCAAGCAGGGGTTGGGGCCCTCTCTCTCTGACTTAGAGAGCGGCCATGCCATCCCTTTTTTTTCCACAGAATTCCTGTAATCTGTATTTGTTCATGAGCAGGCACAACATACATGGATCCTGCCAGCCAGGATCCACCACAGTTTCCTGAAAAAATTAAAATGGGAATTGCCTTTTGACCCAATAATTCCGCTTCTGGGAATATATCCTAAGGATCCCAAAACACTGATTTGAAAGAATATATGCACCCCTATATTTATAGCAGCATTATTTACTGTACAGTAGCCAATATTTGGAAACAGCCTAAGTGCCCATCAGTAGATGAGTGGATAAAAAAAGCTGTGGTACATTTACACAAAGAGATACTACACAGCTGTTAAAAACAAAAGGAATTCTTACCTATTGTGACAGCATGGACGGACCTGGAGACTATTACGGCTATAGTGAAATAAGCCAATCAGAGAAAGAATACCATATGGTCTCATTTATAAGTGGAATTTAATGAGCAAAATTAAAGGCATAGAAGGCATGGAAACATGGAATAGGCTGACAGCTGCCAGAGGGGATGTGGAAGGCAGGGACTGGTTGAAAGAAGGTGAAGGGATTAGTCAAAGAACAGATATGCATGGCCCACAGACATGGACAATGTTGTGGGGATGGACTGGGGAGGGGGGGTCAAAGGGGGAAAATCAGGGGACAACTGTATAGCATACATAAAATATTTAAAAATAGTTCAGAATGTCAGTGTAGAGACTTATAACCAAGGAAAATTCTTTGTCTATAATAATGGTGCATAAATATAAAGTCATTATTAAAATTGTACATTTACCTGTTTTTCATTCCCTGATTTGTTAATTTAAAAGAAATATACATCTAGGCCATCATAAACAAATCAACAAACAAGTGCTGGCGAGGTTGTGGAGAAAAGGGAACCCTAATACATTCTTGGTGAGAATGCAGACTGGTGCAGCCACTGTGGAAAACAGTGTGGGATTTCCTCAAGGAACTAAAAATGGATCTGCCTTTGGACCCGGTGATTCCACTGCTGGGATTATATCCTATAAACCCTGAAACACCAATCCAAAAGAACCTGTGCACCCCAATGTTCAAAGCAGTGCTACTTACAATAGCCAAGTGCTGAAACAACCTAAGTGCCCATCAGTAAATGAATGGATCAAAAAACTATGGTACATTTACACAATGGAACATAACACAGCAGAAAGAAAGAAGCTCCTATCCTTCACAACAGCATGAATGGAACTGGAGAGCATTATGCTGAGTGAAATATGCTGAGTTTCACCAGGTGGTGAAAGATGAATACCATATGATCTCACCTATAAGTGAAACCTAATCAGCAAAACAAACAAGTGAGCAAAATAGATCCATCGACCCGGAAGTAAGGAACATACTGATAGTGACCAGAGGGAAAGGAAAAGGGATAACGGGGGAAAGAAGGGGAAGGGTCTTCAAGGAACATGTATAAAGGACCCATGGACAAAGCCAAAGGGGGGCAGGATTGAGGGTGGGAGGTAGGGGGTGGATGGGGTTGGGGAGAGTGGTTAGGTAAATGAAGACAACTGTACTTTAACAATAAAAAAATAAATATATATGGAACTAGAATAAATAAAAATATATACGTCTCGCTTTGATTATACTATTTAGTGTCTCTGGTGGACATATAAAGCAGTGAAGTAACTGGACTTACTTAACATGAACCTCTGATGTGACTTCCATTAAATCACCGTCTACATTCCAAGGGAAACTGGTTTCTGGAGCAGTTTCATGCAGTTGATCTTCCTCCTCTGGATTGTGTGCACTGGTTTTATTCCTGGGGTAAACTTTTACTTCTTCAACAGTGTATGTCTCAATGAATGGAAAGTTGAACTAAATAAAAAAAATTCAAACAGTCATGATACTTTTATCCCTAACTGCTAATGCAACTTAAGAGAGTTCATGATGCTTTCTCTTGCAAGTAAATATGAACATGCCAGCTGATGTTTTTATAGCTTTGAAACTCTAATTATGACCAAGGATCCCCAATTTCTCTGAAGAAGGATCCCTCCTTCTAAATCTTTCCTACCTCACTTAGATCCGGCAGCCGTGCAAAGTTGTTTTACAACAAATAGTAAATGTCTATGAAGTCGTACATTGTAATGATATTGTGAATTTCCAATTAAAGATAATCTTTACTACTGGTCTGTTGATAGAAAGATTTACATAGTCCATTGACTTGATTGTTAAGTTGCCAACTAGTTTAGCTGATATAAAGCAAACTTCAGGGTAAGTTTCACACTTGGAATTTAATTAGGAAGAATGTGGGTCTCTGCTTCAGATTTCCCATCTCAGGTGTAAAGCTTTGAGACATGCGTCATACTGCACACTTGTAAAAATTTCTAACCATTCATTGTAAAATGAGTTTTAAAAGTCATTGATAACTGGCTAACAATATGGGTTAAACTGTGTCCCCCATAAAGATGTCTAGAATTCCTAAATCCTAGTGCATGTATCTTCTTCAGAAAAAGTCTCTGCAGATGAGGTCATCATGGTGGGCACTAATCCCATATGACTGGGGACCTTATAAGATAGGAGAAAGGCATGTGAAGGTAGACACACACAGGAAGAATGCCATGTGATAAGTAAGTCGGAAACCAGTGATGCACCTGCAAGCCAAGGAATGTCAAGAACTGATGGCCACCACCAGTTTTCAGGTTTATGCATGTATGTCACAAAATGAAACCCCAGCCACCTATCCACACAAATTTATTACCTATGAAGCCACAGACATTATTAACAAGATTTTTGGGAGCCAAGAGCTTGGTATCTGGTATGAGGGTGTGTTGGGGGCATGAGGAGAAGTATGTAGTTACAATTGTGATACATGTAAATGCTTTGATGGTGTATGAGAATTAAATGACAGAAAAGGACACGGAAAAGTGGCTAAGAATATAGGGCGAGCCTCCCATTTGAGCTCAGTCTTAAAGAACGAGTTAGCCTATAGAAGAAGGGAAGTTCTGGAGAGACAAACAGTAGTTGCAAAAATCCAGAGCTATGTCATGGTCAAGCAACTACCAAGAAGCAGTATACTATGAAATTGACTGCAATCTTGGTGTTTGGGCATTTAACTTGCAGAATAAATACCTGTACCACATTTTAAAAGACAGACTATTTTTAGTCTATCTTATGTGCACACAGCTGGAAGGCAGCCCTCTGCAAGCCAAGAAGAGAAGCCTCAGGAGAAACCACGCCTTCTAACACCTCCTGGGACTTCTCACATTCAGAACTGTAAAAAAAATAAATTTCTGTGTTTAAGCCACCCAGTCTGTAATATCTGTGTGGCGGCTCTAGCACTGTAATACAGGGACTAAAGCAGGAAATCTGGTTGAGGAGGAGAAGGGGCGAGGCTTCACCAGGCAAGGGCCAGAATACAAAGGCCATGCAATACATGTTGGGGACACCAGATGTTCTCCTGATAACAATGAGAAAGATACTAAGAACTGAGCAGAAGAGAAATCAGATGTGTTTTAGAAAAATCCCTTTAGAAGGAAGTATGGAAGACAAGACCACAGAAAAGGAAGACCAGAAGAAAGCTGTTGTAAGCAAGAAGGAATGAAGGTTTGAATCAAGGTGAGGGAGACATTTAAGTGGAGAACAAGTACACCTGCTTGGTGGATTGGTTGTGAGGAATGAGAGAAAGGAATCCAGGGTAGCTCCAGGATAGGTGGGGCAAGGCCATCGACCTTTGTAAGGAAACAAGGAAGGAGCGAGCAGCTTTGGGGAAAAAGAGGGTAAGGTCAGGTGCAGGTGTGCAGTACTTAAGATGCCTCTGAGCTGTGTAAGCTCAGCACACAGGAAAACACGGCGGTCCTGCAGGTCACAAGAGAAGACGATACTCAGTCCGAACAACAGGGGCCATGAGATCACCCAGGAGAAGGGATCATGAGAAGACAAGAAGGCTGCAAACAAATCCTGGGGGAAGTACTAAAAATTTAAGAATTTTAAACTCCTTGCCAAAAATAATAGTCAATGTGATCGTAGAAATGTATGGGCAGTAAAA